TAGTTGTCAACTCATATGCAAAGCATCATCATCTAAGTAATATGCACGTCCCCAGCAGAGAAACCCTGAGCCTCAGATCCCAAGCTCCTAATATGGAGGCTTCAGGGGGTTAGTCCTGAATCACTTGGGGCACTGGCAAGGGTTGCAGGACTTCATAATTACCCTAAAACCTGAAGATGGAACATTCATTCTAATAGACCAGCTTTCTTTTAGGGAAGTTGTTTGCTGTTCATGATTATAGAAGGGAACCCTCTGGCCAATATACTTTGTACTCTGCCGGGCTTCCTGTGTAACTTCAGTAAGCATTTTTTCAAATTTCTATATTCTGTTGTATTCGACAGGTGACGAAGGGAGCATTGGCTCTGCAACAGATCTGACAGAAACAAGTTCAATTGTGGATGGAGACTGGACTATGGTGGATGAAAATTATTCCACCTTGAGTCTGACGCAGTCCGAATTGGAACCTATCTCTTTGGAGCTAGCCAGCAAAGGGCCACACAAATCACAAGTTCAGCTGCGGTAAATGAGCTTGGAGTTTGTATCATTGGGATTTTTTTGAGTGGTTCTTAGAAGATGGGGACCAAGGATAATTATCTTGTGAGAAAATTTAATGTTTCTCTTGCCTTAGAAAGTCATTTTGGGTCTTTTTGTAGGTACAGATAGTCCCCAGTTTAATGAGTTCCGTTCCCAAGATCTGTCCTTAAGTCAAATTTGTATGTAAGCTGAAACCACAGTATTATAATACTGTATATGTAGTATTGTGTAATTAAGTCGAATCATCATGTATTTCACTCAAATTTTGCTATAATAGGCTCTCTTCTTAACTATGGGTTGTAACCTGGCCATTCTTAACCTGGGGACTACCTGGATTTGCTTCATATTTTTATGGAAGCAGGATGCCTGGTGCATGATCATAGGCCTTATCCTTCAAGAATCTTCAGTAATCAAGTGTTTAGTCTAGCAGTCTTCAGAGGTTGATGGGGAGACATTGCAGAACATTAAGACAGGATTGCAGGCAGTAAGAAGATGGGCTTCTACCAAATTGTGAGTTTCATGAACCTCCTTTCACTTTAACATTGGCTAAATATTGGCTATTGGCTAAACTGAGCTCCTTTACTTGGAAGAGCAGTATTCAAAATAGAACCGCTAGCAAAAATTAATCCTTAATATTTAACCTCTTCAAGGAAGGAATTCTGTACGTCAGAATGTAATGTCTGGTATAATAGGACTCCACAATATATTAAGACCTATCATAACTAATCTGACTTCCTATTTAAATTATTGACATTTCATTCAGCCACAATAAAAGATATATCCTGAGTTAATCAATGTTGCTTTTCTTTCAAGCACAAAATGGTTATTGTTTTCCTGAAGTTTCTAACATGTTCTTGGATATTTTAGTGTTTCACAGCATGTATATACATCACACAGAGTTTAGAAACATAATACAATATAGCTTGATAAGTGTCTGTTGATTCTTAGTTTACAAAGTTCTCCAGTTAGGTTTCTTGGCAAATACAAACTATGTATGCACAAAAATATTTTTCAGAAGCCTACACTGAAGAATAATACTTTAAAAAGGAAAACATCAGTATCATTGCATTTTTCTTTGTAGAAAAAAAGTCTAATTATGCAGGAGATATTACATACAAGCCTAGTTATTCAGGGCCAAGATTTCAATAATCTCTTAGTAGAGGCTATACACTGTATTGGTTTTTAGTATTTGGGTTTGAAAGTAAAGCAGTACTGTGAATTAAGGCCAAATGGCAAATTGGACAAATACACAATTCCACCACAACACCTGGACATCTGAATCTCCTGCTGACAGGTTAATCTACATTTCCATCCTACTGACAACTACGAGAGCAAAAGCACTTTTTGTCATCAAAAACACTAGTTCTACCACACATTATCAAGTGGGACATTATTCTAACATGTAAGTTTTGCATTTCTCTAATAGCTTATGAGTTACAATTATCCAATATACTCTAAGAAACTGAGTCAATATAAGTCACTGCTTATCTGATTTAGAATTACAAGTAATTTTTACATTGTCATGCCAAATATTAAAGCTTGAATGTTGAAAAAATATATCCCGTTGATCTATCACCTTTATTTAGAAGTAAATGTGAATAGAGCCCATATCAAATTAATTTTTGAATGATTATAAACTAGATGTTAATTCTACTGATCTTATCATGTTTATTACTTTCTTCCATACTCATGATTTAGTATCCTGTAATTTGATATCCTAGCAGAGCATTCCAGTCTGTATGAGTTCCAAGGAACAGCATAAGATACCACTGCAATTTAACTAGGTAATGAAGATGCTTCCACAACATTGCTTTCTACTTCAGATACGAATAGCAGCCTTCCTTAATCTGGCCTCCAGTACTATTGCAGCAACTCTCCTAAATTCCTGATAGCATGACCTCAAAGGCTGTAGATTATGCAAACTGAAGTCTAGCACATCTGGAAGGAGGGTTCAAGATTGAGGAAATCTGTGCGTGGTACATAGAAGAACATCTCTGAGATTTAGGGCCAGCTTTATATTTTCTAACACTGAGGAACAGTCCAGTTTACGATGATGTTGTTATTGCAATTTATATACAGCTTCATTTCTGGCGATTCTCAGTGTCTTACAGCATTAATATAAGATTAAAAACAAAAATTAATTACTAGAATTCTACTGATAGAATCCAGCGTCCACCATCTGGAGCTAGCATTATCTGACCCATTCCCAAATGCCTTTCTGAAGACCCTTCTAAAAGGAGTTTTTACAGCTCTCTGAAAGGGGTTATCTGGATATTCAGGGTAAGCTGTTCCAAAGAAGGGGACCGTCACTAACATGTCTCAAACCCCGGGTTGCTTGAAATTGGCATTTTCTAGATGATGGGACCCCCTTTCTCTCTTACTAGATAATCAGATTCAACCTGAATAAGGTGGACAGATTTCTAGGCCCTGAGTCACGTAGAGCTTTAAAAGCGGCAAACAGCACCTTGAACTGCACTCAGAAGCCAACTGGGAGCCAAAGCAGTTCCCAAAATGGTGGTTACATAGGTGAACCTCACTCTACCCATAACTACTCAAGCTGCTGCATTCTGTTCATCTTTTACCAGGGTTGCTCTAAGCAAGTCTTCTGTCACTTCACCAACTAGAGCTCTTTTAGTTTTTTGTTTGTTTGATGTATTCAGGTCAAGTTCCTGCAGTTTTCTTGACAAGATTTCAGAAGTGGTTTGCCATTGCCTGCTTCCTAGGGCTGAGAGAGAATGACTGGCCCAAGGTCATCCAGCTGGATCTTTTACCAGGGTTGCTCTAAGCAAGTCTTCTGTCACTTCACCAACTAGAGCTCTTTTAGTTTTTTGTTTGTTTGATGTATTCAGGTCAAGTTCCTGCAGTTTTCTTGACAAGATTTCAGAAGTGGTTTGCCATTGCCTGCTTCCTAGGGCTGAGAGAGAATGACTGGCCCAAGGTCATCCAGCTGGCTTCGTGCCTAAGGTGAGAGTAGAATTCACGGTCTCCTGGAATCTAGCCTGATGCCTTAACCACTACACCAAGCTGGTCTTGCAAGCTATCGTGTTAAAATTTATTATGTTTTCTAAAAACGTTTTTCTTAAATAGACTCACAGAGGAGAAAATACAATGAATCAAATGGCTGGGGTAGCTTCCATTTAATATTTTCTATAATGATTTAAATGGTATCTCCCAAAAATTCAAGAAACCTCTAATTAATAGGATCTGAAATTTCTATCCCAATTTCTATCCTTTCCTCCTCTCTTACCAAAATAATTTACTTTAAAACATACTTTCCATATGCCCTGAGGTTTCTAATCTTTGAACACTGTTCAGTTGTCTTGATACAGTGTAATAATAATAAATTTAGTGTATACAGTGTATAAAATAAAAAGTTTCTGTAATAATAAATATATATTAACAGAGCAACTATATAGCACAAAGAAGAATTAGATGTGGGTAATCTAACTTCTGTTCTACAGAACATGGAGGGAATGGCATTTACCATTTCCTTTTTTTACTTTGAATTCTTCATAAGAGCATTCTTTTCCTTATTTATTTATTTGTAAAATTTATACAGATAAGTCCTCACTTAATGACCATTCATTCAGCAATTGTTTGAAGTCACAATAGCGCTGAACGAATGATATTAGGGTTACGGCCATCGCAGCAGCCCGCAGTCATGTGATCAAAATTTGGGAGCTTGGCAGCCTGCCTGCATTTACAGCTGCAGGGGCACTTCAGCTCCACCCACCCACCAGTCTCCCCCCCATCTCTGCCCTTTTGGCTGCCCTGCACTCCACTACTCCTGCTGCCCTTCCTCTTCCTAGTCTTCAAGTCTACAGCAGCAAAGTTTGTAGTGAAGGTATTTGGGGGGGTTGGAGCTCTTTCTCCAAGAGTGAACCTTCTCCCCCTGGCCAGAGGGAAAGAGTGTCAAGCTATTCTGTAGCTCCTGGAGTGTCCTCTCCAGGACTTAGAAAAGTCTATGAAAGGACAAAAAAACCCAGTGCTTTTCTGCTGAGAGGCTTGTGCCACCTTTACAGTTCCTCTGGCTCAGTAGTTGTTTACTCTTATGTCTTTGGTAAAAACACTTTTTTTACACATAGACAAGAAATCAGTAATGCATCTTGATGTCCCCTGAGCTTTTCATAATTTTGTAGAAACTTGCAGCTTTCATTGGATTATGTATGACCCACTCATGAAAAATCAGATAAATAATAAAAATAATTGTTAGTAACCAATTCAGTAACTGTCACCAAAATACAAAATGTACATATATATGTGTGCAGGAGGCCCGAGTGGTGACTCGGTGCTTAGAAGTATAGTGCTAGATGCTTGCATTGGATGCATATGTTTCGCCCTCACACTGCTTGATTGCCATAGAGAAGTTAGCTAAATATGGACTTTGCTCTACTCTGGTCTAGTCAAGCAAAAGGATCCAGAAAAAGAAGGAAAAGCAGCAACGCCAGAACACACAAACTTAGGAATTCAGTGAGATTGGCCATCAAGTTCTTTGGCATTATATTTTAAAGAGCTTTGCTTACAGAGTGCATTCAAAATGAGTACAGTATCATTATTGCAGCAATTACCATTAACAGCTCCATATTCTCCATAATGGATAGTCTTAACAGTGTCTTAAGAAAACACTTCTTTAGTTTATTAGAACACATCAAAATATTAAGGACAAGGCAGCATTTGTGTTATTTAAAGACAGTAAGGTATGTTATATTGTGCTTGCAGTTCCTCCACTAAAGCCCCTTTTATTGCAAAATGCCAAGGAGGGCCATTCTAAAGCTACTTTCCAAAAGGCAGCTTTCATGTTCACCTAGTCAAACAGGTGAACTGGTTATTCAAGTGGAAGAAATAGGTGGGGGGTTTTTTGCATTAAAGAAATACAACAAATTTGTCCTTTTCCCCAAAGAGGACTTACAATACCACCATTCCTTCATAGCTTTTCTTTCTGTGAGTAATGCTATTTTTTCCACTTCACCCAAACTCCCTAATGAACAAAAGTGGCATCCAGCAATTTAGAGACAATTGACCTTCGCAGAATTTCTAGATTAAAAGATAAACTGGTCATAGGTAGAAGCCCAGCCTGAGGTATAGGTCCAGTTGGGAAATCTTTCCATTAAAGCACGTAACTGAGATGACTTTTGATCTTCTCCAAAGAAATAATGGGTAACTATAGCAAGGGTGACCATTCCTTTAGTGGATTTATCCGAACCCTAAAAATCAAAAAGAAGAAAAGCATATAAGCCCATGTCTGATTATTTGAATCCCATTCCTACTTAGCACTGTGTAATGGTAGAATTCAAAGCTTGCAAAATCTGGACCAAAGACCATATGCAGCTGAAGAAACCAAAGGAATGAAAGTTTTAAAGAATTCCATAGATGGTGACTGAAACATTGTTAAAGTGTCTGTTTCCAAAACAAAATCTGATTTAAACCTATAGCAAGCTTCATAAGCACAAATTCTGGCAAATAAAATTGAGGAAACAGATTAAATTCCTGAGCCTATGTTAATTAAAGCTTCTGGGGAATTGTTAAAGTGAATATATAAAAAATAAGAAAGAACGTCTTCCCAGTGCAACCAGGAGATGGACTGGTCCTTTTCAATTCTGTATCAAGGAGAAACACAACTATTACGTGTCTTGACTGCAACACATTCCGTGTGTGGCTGCCCTTGAAAAGTATCAGGAAATTGCAATGGGTGCAAAATGTGGTAGCTAGAAGTTTAAGTTACAGGGAACATACAATCCCCTTATTGAAAAATCTGCACTGTCTGCCACAATTTAAAGTGCTAATGTTGACATTTAAAGCCTTAGATGGTTTAGATTTTGCTATCTGAGGGAATCCTCCACCATTATGAAGGTCAGTAGGAAAGGGCTTTTTGAAGATCTTCCAGCAGCTAATATGCCAAACAGCGCCTTCCCCTGTGTACCTCCATCTCCCAAGAAAAGGGATAAGGAACATAAACTGGACAACTGAATCACTAATTTCTAAGCTACTAAGAACATTTACCAGACTATTCTTTAATAAGTATGCTCAAATCATAGAAGCGAAAAGTGAAATCAGAAGAAAAAGATAGGCTGTATGGAGGGCAAGTCAGTTTATGTACAGGAGGATGTAGAAGGCATTTTCTCTACATTAAATAATACTGAGGAAGCAGAACGCTAATTCAAACATTTAGAGCTGAACATCAAGATACTCTGTTGCTTTTGTTTTGCCAGTATGAGTCTACATCAAAATATAATTCAGATACTATATATCTAGATTAAAAAATTACTCCTACTTTTTGGAAGCAATATAAAAGCAATTATTTGGGATTTTGCAGTTATATACAAGGAGACTTCTCAAGAGCCACTCTCCAGTACTAGACAAATTCTGATTTTCCTTCTCTGGTTTACTTCAATCATGGTATCATTAATGGTACTTACATACTACCTTGTCTTTATCTAACAATACAACAATATCGGTAAGTCAATGACAGGTAATTTATACAATTTTAAGTGAGTATCTGGAAACACCACATGCGTTCAGTGAGTTTCAAGTAAGCAAATACAAGACTACAGATTAATTTATATCCACTGGTTTGATTTAATAGCAGGAACCTAATATTCATGTACAGCTTTGATTTAATTTATTCTTGACATGAAAGATGTAAAAACTTGTCATGTCAAGGACATCTCGAGAAAAGAAAATGCATATTCAAATTAATAGCATTAGAAGGCAATTGTGTGTTATCTTCAAAAGATGAAGATGAATCAGCAACTGTTCCCAAAAGGCAAACCATTTAACAGAGTAGGAGATGGAGTTCTAAGAAATGAATGTGATGCTTATGGAATAAACTCACCTTCAGCATTATCCAGAAGCGCCAGGGCACAGCCTGGAGCCCATGTGAATAATATACAAAGTAGTCTCCATTTCTGTTATTAACAGTAGGAGTTCCATCTCCAAGAGACCAGGTGGACAGTGTTGAACCTTGATGTAGTCGAAGATATAATGCCATGTGACTTGGACCTGAAGCATATGATAAAGATTTCTACATGAATTCAGAAGAAAGGATGGTGGAGCTGCCACATTTTTTTTCAATCTAAAGCAAACTTTTTATATACACCAACTGTTTATTTAGTTTTCCTAATAACCTGGAAAGGATATTTTCCCAATATCCTGATTAATTTGCAAACTATACTTCTAAAAGCACCCAGGAAATTTTTAATACTGTACACCTTAAAGACTGGCACATTTCTCATAGCATAATTTATCACAGTCAAGAATTTGTTCAGGTACACTATAACGTGCATGTTTTATCTGTGATATCTGCATTCACACTGATTGGCTATCTCTGAGAACTTGGACTGAATGCCCCTGAGGTTTAGATAATTCACCTTAGCTAGCTACTTGCTAAGTTCAAACAAACCCCTACTAAAACTCAAGGCAAAGAATGATGAGATGTTCACCCACCTATTACTTCAAAGGTTAGCTTTGTAGAATCCAATAGTGTTTGCTCTTTGGAAAGAAGCTGAAAGCGAATAGGATTTTTGGGGGTAATTGCTGGAGCAGGAAGATACCATGATTTCCTATTTAAGAAAGGGATTTTTAAAAAATTATCAATGTAATTCACCATAAGAATCCTTTAAAATATTTCAAATTACTGTTTCATGCTAATTTTGTTTGACAAAAATTTTTGTACAATATGGCTGAGTATATCAGAGCCTAAAATGCCACTGAATATGCAAAAATGTTATAGGCCTATATGCAAAGGAATTCAAAACGATTAGCCTTTTTTATCTTAATATAAAAATAAAAATATACAGTACTGTGCAAAAGTTTTAGGGAGGTGTGAAAAAATGTTGTAAAGTAAGAATGCTTTCAAAACTATATAT